GCGAGTCGAGTGTCGTAACCACCTGGCCACGCCGGGCCGAAACACATGATGTATCCAGTCAATAGTGGCTGTAGAGACGACAACAGAGTATTTTTTCAAATATTATTACAAGTCAAATGTAACGTAGTTGCCCTAATGAGCAAGTCAACAGAGATTGCATACGTTATTCTGGTTTGGAATATTGACTCATTCCTATATTCCCCGATAGCTAGAAACCAATATTTGCATATATCATTTGGATATTTTTTCCGTGTTGATATATTAAATGAAACCTGCTTACAAAACGCTCTGAGAGGTCTTTGAATATGTATTTAGTGAAAAAGAAATAAACAATCAACTAATAATTGAATTCGGTGTCACGCCATTTGGTATGTGAAATACATCTGCCACTTTCCAGAAGTCGATGGAACTTACCCTAGAAGATCAGGATGTCTCATTTAGGTGGAAGCATTATATTAATTTGGTGCACAATTCAGGTCACTACTGAAAATAATATTTCAGCATACAAAAGATGCAGAAAAAAAGTGGAGTGTCTTGTTTATATAACAGACATAGATGGAATGTTCACTAGATTTGTTAAGATTGCAGTGGTCAAGGCATGGCCCCAGCTTGACAAGAAGTCATCTTTCTGGGTTTTGCATCGTACTTTCGATTATTTGTAGCCACATTCAGCAAGATGGTCACACCGCAGTCTGCATTGATAGGACCGATATGAACTTTGTGTAGAATAAGCATTCAGTCTCCAGATTATTCTTTGGTCGAAGCAGTGGTATCAGATTATCCTTATTAGAAAGGCCCCTTAAAACCAGACGCCAGTGATAATAAAATTGGAATGGTTTTGTCACACATACAAGATGATGTGGAGTGTTTAATTGCACATGAAAGCAATGCACTAACAGCTCTGAATGCTGATGCTGAAAGATAAAAAAGGAACTGCTTTGAATTATATTATTTGTAAAGATCTATTCTACTTGTAGGATAGGAAGTTCATTATTCGGGTAGACGAAGAGTCACTAAAATAGATGACTTACTTTAAAATTCTGAAAGGTATGATTGTGTACTAGATAATGATGCTACAAGAGGATAACTTTGTTGTACAATATTGCCCAGGCCGCTAGCATGCGAACATCAAACGTCAACTGGTGAGAACATATATATTTGTTGAATGTACAGATCTTGAACACCTTAAAGAGGTCAAAGTCATTGCTGTAGAAATAATGGCAAATCATATGGGGGACATAACCTCTACTTGTCGGTGGAAAACGATAACTGTAAAATGATAATTAAATGTAATCAAAAGTCAGCCACTTTCTCAACCCAACCAGTTCTTACACCGAACTTCATAACAAAGAGGAATAGGCATGGACTGTGTAAATCTTGGTGGAATGTGTATAACTTTGTTAGATTTGGTTGGAGTTACTTTGTGGAATGTGTATAACTTTGTTAGATTTGGTTGGAGTTACTTTGTGGAATGTGTATAACTTTGTTAGGTTTGGTTGGAGTTACTTTGTGGAATGTGTATAACTTTGTTAGGTTTGGCTGGAGTTACTTTGTGGAATGTGTATAACTTTGTTAGGTTTGGTTGGAGTTACTTTGTGGCATGTGTATAACTTTGTTAGGTTTGGTTGGAGTTACTTTGTGGCATGTGTATAACTTTGTTAGGTTTGGTTGGAGTTACTTTGTGGAATGTGTATAACTTTGTTAGGTTTGGCTGGAGTTACTTTTCCATGTTTATATGATGTAGTGGGCTGTCCAACATTTAGGTGGCAGTAATAGTGTGCAAAATATAGTGATTTGATAGTGCATTTAGTCAGTAAAAGTAACTTTGCTATCATCTCTGGTATTTGTACTATATTAGACTGTCAGTAGATGCAAATATTTTGCACTTAACAACACAACATTCAACCACAATGCTCAACTATGAAACAATGGACCTCCTCCTGATTTTCATTTGTGATTTTCTTTGTGTTCTTGGGTTCATTTGTTATGGTCTTGTGCTGACTCAGTTGGTGGCAAATGAAAGCCGTGCATGTGATTCAGTGTACAGGAAGAATGACTGGCACTGAATTTGATTGCCATGGCTATCGAATTTGCGGTTAATGGTGACAACATATAGTAAAAGTACATGTTGGTTAATATGTAACATTAGACTAGATATGTCCCCGCGGTGGACAGAGTACAGATAGCCCATTGTGAAGATAATAATAATAACAACAAGAAGATATTTCCAAACCAACATAGGTTTCTAAAAGTGTTGTCTTAACGATAATTTATACCACATCTGGATTATGTTACTGCCAAACCATATCATGTGACATTTCAATTTTGGCGCTTTCCGGATTGTTGAGAAATGCTGATCCCAAAAACATGTCTATTGTAGCTGTAGCTAAACCTAACCTTAATATCCTATAGGCTTATCTACTCTCGCCTTTGTAAAATTAAGTTTGAATTTTAATAACTAGTTTAATATGAACATTTAGCATTTTTTTGGTGTTTATATTCAAATGCGTGTGAAAGCAGTAAGGAAATTTGATCTAAAGTTTCTTCTTTTGACTTTTCTATTTCCCATATTCATGTATGCGTGGCGCCACAATGACTTTTCTATTTCCCATATTCATGTATGCGTGGCGCCACAATGACTTTTCTATTTCACATATTCATGTATTCGTGGCGAAACAATGACTTTTCTATTTCACATATTCATGTATGCGTGGCACCATAATCGACGTGGACGAAGACAAACAAAGGACAATCACAAATTTGATAAAGGTTGGTTTGTTGGGGTTTTATGGCGCAAAAAACCAGGGTTATATGCGCTGTTGATAAAGGTCCACCTTACGAAAGCGCTCGGGTTATAGGGTATTTATCATTTTTGTAAAAAAACTACAGGTCCTGGAATGGCCTAATGATTAGGGTGCTCGACTCGCACTCTGTGGGCCGTGGGTTTGAATCCCGTCACCAAACGTACTTACATTTTCAGTCGGGAGGGGCGTTATAACATTACGAACAATCCCTCAGTTCGTTGGTAAAGAGTAGTAGAAGAGTTGACAATGGTGGTGTTCAATAGCTGCCTTTCTATCATTCAAAACTGTGGCGGCTAGTATAGATAGCCCTCGAGTATTTTTGCGCGAAATTCAACAAAGAAAATAAGAACATAAATATACTATAATTATATCTATACAGAAAATTATGTAGAAGAAAGTTCAACCCCAATAACGTTGTTCTTTATTCCCTAAAGGTTTCAGAATACCAACAAATTAAACTATTTCATACATATTAATTGGTAAAGATATCAAATAATGCAGTGTGAACTTATTTGATTATATTTTGCCTCTAATAATATTTATTAGTGACATAGACAATTATGTACGAGAAGATTTAAAATAAGATGTAAAAAAAACATAACATTACGCCTATTTTCATATTGCATAAGGGAAGGAGGATTACTGCATAGTATTACGTTCTGTTGAAATGTATAATAATGGTTCTAGAATAGCCCCGCACAATGCATTCGGTAATTTACTAAAAATATATAATGTGAACTTGACTTATTATACTTTTCCAAATATAACTTGTGTACTGCATAAAAAACCTACAAAATTTGCGAGTTTTCACAATGGAGAATCAGATTTTCAAAACAGTTTTAAAGTAAATAAAATATAAAAACTTTGATTAAATGTTACCATGGAGACTGCATGGTTTGTTCGCCCTTGCCGAATTCCCTCTCTCATTAGCTCTATAATTTCTCCTGCCTGTAAAAAGGAAACTACATTAGCTCTATAATTTCTTCTGCCTGTAAAAAGGAAACTACATTAGCTCTATAATTTCTTCTGCGTGTAAAAAGGAAACTACATTAGCTCTATAATTTCTTCTGCCTGTAAAAAGGAAACTACATTAGCTCTATAATTTCTTCTGCCTGTAAAAAGGAAACAACATTACCTCTATAATTTCTTCTGCGTGTAAAAAGGAAACTACATTAGCTCTATAATTTCTCCTGCCTGTAAAAAGGAAACTACATTAGCTCTATAATTTCTTCTGCCTGTAAAAAGGAAACTACATTAGCTCTATAATTTCCTCTGCCTGTAAAAAGGAAACTACATTAGTTCTATAATTTCTTCTGCCTGTAAAAAGGAAACTACTTTGAAATGTTTATAACAACTACAAAAATTTCACTTAATTCAACAGTGTGAATTTGTGTTTTATCAGATATTTAGAAAAACAAGCACCGTGGACAATCTGAAGCCATGAAAGTCCACATGTGGTTTCTAACGTACAGTTTGTTCGTCCTTGACGAATTTCTTATCTCCTCAGAAAAACCAGCCATAGGTTTGATAACTTCCACGACAGGGTGTATTTATTTTCTCTGTAAAAATAAAATAAGATCACTGTTTTGCAGTAACATGCAGACCATCATAGCAGCTACGGCATTGCTACGGGACCCCAAGGCCAATGGGAGCCTGAAGTAAAGTAAAAAAAAAAAAGACCCTTACTGCCGGGTCCCCTTGGCTTATCACGCGGCCTGCACTCACACATACATGTATGCGAAACAGACAGAAAGGCAATATGTGTCACAGTTATTATCACCACCAAAAACAGGAGAAAAATAAGAATTATAAAGTCGGAAACTTCACAAAATTCATTTATTTTTTAACATGATAGTAACGAAAGAGAGCAAGAGGAGAGAGGTTCGTGTATTTACTCAGTATTGTAGTTAAATGTCAATAAAGAGCAGTAAGAGGGGCCCAAATTTATATTTTTTTCGTTTTTAATATGAGGCCCATGAAATGCTATGTACGTCACCGCCATCTGTCAGTATGCTCCGAACACGTCATGTAAAATCCTTAATCTGAGGAAACTAAATTAATCGATTAGAAAATAAAACGTAGAAAAATAACTAACAAACCTGAACTGAACTCTTTGAGAACTAGTCATAGAGTGGTGATGTTAAAACCCACACTAACCCATGGAGTGGCGATATTATAACCCACATCAACTCACAGAGTGACGCTATCAAAACCCACACTAACCCATAGAGTGGTGATATTATAACCCACATCAACTCACAGAGTGACGCTATCAAAACCCATACTAACCCATAGAGTAGCAATATTAAAACCCACACAGACTCATAGAGTGGCGAAATTTAAACCTACACTAACCCCCTTACCCATAGACTGGTCATATTAAAACCCACACTAACCCCCTTACCCATAGACTGGTCATAATAAAACCCAAACTAACCCCCTTACCCATAGACTGGTCATATTAAAACCCATACAAACCCCTTACCCATATAATGATGATATCAGACCCACAATAACCCAAAGTTTTGCGTGATTTTAAGCTTATTCATATAATTAAATTACTTTCGCCTGGCCCAATAGAACTTTGATCAAGTTGCGATAATAAGTGTTCTTTTAACAATGTAGATGTGGGTCCATTATATTCCTTTAAACACATAGATATGGGGTCCATCATAGTCCTTTAAACACATAGATATGGGTCCATCATATTCCTTTAAACACATAGATATGGGTCCATCATAGTCCTTTAAACACATAGATATGGGTCCATCATAGTCCTTTAAACACATAGATGTAATTTTTCAATTAAAAACAATTCTAAATTCCAGATGCAAATTTTACTCAACCCAAAGTTTCTGCTGCAATTTTTCATCAAGGATTGCTCAACACACAAAAGAATAAAATAAACCAGAAACCGCATAAGAAAGCAAGAATGTGCAACAATGATATAACAAGACTTATTAACAGGATAAAACAATAATGCTAAAAAATCAAAATCCCTCAACGAATATCACATAATCTAAATGGGTGGCCACGACTAACGAATTATACACGCGGTGTATGTTCTTAGATACTTTACTGTATGCTGACTTATGGCCACCACTGAATGTATTATATAAGTTAATGGGTGTTGCATACATAAAATGCTCAACGATAAGTACGAACTCATTATGCTAACAATCTGGTTTCGATACCTGATGTAGGTGGCGCACAGACGCCTCATTGTGCAGCTTTGTACTTAACAACAAACAAACAAAAATGTATGCCCATGTAATCTTTTGTCCTTTCCTTAACAGTAATAAAAGAGTTTAATAAATAAATAATTAAATAAAAATGAAAATAAAATTAAACTACAAAGATGTTGCATAGGTAGGGGGGGGGGGGTAACAAGAAAATGGTAATTGATTAACGTTAACTCATTTAACCATCTAAACCTAAAAATGGCAGATTGTTGCTGTTGACTTTTTTGTTGTTGTTGTTAATAGTGCGTTTAACAATTGTTTGTCTGCGCTGTGTCCCTTGTGTGGAATCTAACCCCAAATTTTAGCGTTATAACCTCTTAAGTTTACAGCGGAGCCTTCGAGAGAGAGCCAAAAATGACAATTTATGTTTGTAAATTTTTATAACATATGTTTACGCGTACAATAAAAGTAAGAACTTAAACTCACTTGACTCCTTTGCTAAATTCAAATTGTCGTGCTGGACTGTGAATCCGGGGGTACTTGGTTTGCGTCTCGTTCTCGCAAAATCGCCGCGCGTGCTTTATAAAAATAAAGGTAAAATCTAACTATTCAGTCAGATAAGAGTAGCCCAAAAGTTGGCGGTGGGTGCTGTTGTCTAGCTGCCTTCCCTCTAGTTTATCAGTTTAAAATTCGCAAAAATACACTTTGGGAAATTTTGTATATGCAAATAAGCTAAAGTCACTGTTTTTTACGTTATTTTTCTCGCATTCACTGAAATAAAAAAGCTGGATTTTGGCTTAATAAGTCTAAAATCACGAATGGTGTTGAAATTGTAAAAGTTAATTAAATTCCTTCGGAAAAATGTAAACTTTACTTTTGGAAATTTCTAGAAGAAACTCAGAGTAAAAAAATACTTGTAGAAGAGGAACGCTATAAGCAGTGGGGAAGTCTTTCATCTTCGTTGCGAAGCAGGGATCAAAAGGGATAATTTTGACAAATGAAAAGGGCAAGAGGGATGGTGCTGAATTTTTTGGTTGAAATTACTCAAAATAAGACTGGTTTTGTGCAAATTCAGAGGCTTCTTACGTCAATTTTGGGTCTCTCACTGGATTCATTTTGAAAAACTAGTTAACCTCTCGGATGCATTTTCCTTCTTTTGGCAGAAAGAGAAATGACCGTGATTTATTTTGGAGTATAACTCATCAGATGAACTACAGTAAATGGTAACTAACCAGACATTAGAAACATCGACAGTATAACCAGGCTTAGAAGTTATAAATGTTCTTTTGCTGGTTAGAATGGGAATTCGAATAATGAAAGAAACTTTTTAATACGTGATACTTCTGCATGATATTTAAATGCTGTGCAAGAATGCTAAGAGGATTATGCGTTAGCTGAGGGTACCTTAAACATTCAATTAGTAAAGATAAAAAATGTCGTTATATTGAATACGTATTTTGGTATTGTAGAACAACATCTGTAGAACAGAAGAAATATTTGGGTCGAATGAACTAGATACGCCAAATCTGTCAAATTTATCGTCTTCATTTCTGGAACCCACTGTTTCATGTGTATCAAATCTTGAAGACCCCATGTGGAATTAGGTTAAATAGGTAGTTTGCACATGAAAAATCCCCCCCCAAAGTGGATATTTGCAGATTCTTGATGTTTTGCAGATATCAAAATTCCAGTTTCAACGGTATTAAAAATAGCTTGGTAACAATTATTTTCCAGTTTAACCCTTCAGCGCTCATACAAAATGATCTGTTTATCAAAATAATGCGATGATACTGTAATAGGAACTAATATCCTGTTGCGAAAAAATCCAATTAACAAAAAATGTGCCTTATGCCATAGCATGTATGGAGTTAGTTTTTGGATGAAAAAATAAAATAAAATCTTCAAGTTGTTTTCAGTTTCTTGCTACAAAAGGTGAATAAACGATCCTAAAATATTTGATTTCTTCAGCAAAGGAAACTATCAGCCTTCGTCGAATGTAATAACAAGTTTTATCACACATTTAACGAGACTCGTTGATTATTCGAGACTTTCTTTCTTAAGCAATATAATCAACATTTAAATCTAGAATTAAAGAAGCTATCTACTTATTATTTATTCTTTATATAATCACCTTCTGCTCTTAGAAATCAAAGAAAATTATTTTGGGTTTCACCTGTTTTGGAAAAGCCCGGTATCTTGAAATCAATTTTGCAAAGTCGTCAACAGACTCGAACCTCATATAGGAATCAACAAGAACTTCGAAATCCAGCTGAACTCCTTCCAAGCGATTAATTGGATAAAAATATCTAAAAAACAATGGAGGTATTAACATTTCTTCAAGGGAAGAAAAAATAAGACATCTTTAGTTTCAGGTTTTAATATTTGCGTTACCTTGCGTGTAATTTCAATATAAATAATTAAGAAAACGCTTACAAGCGTCAATTTGAAATATGGATTGTAAAAGATATGTATTATACTTTATTCAAGCCCAAACTTACCCTAATAATTCCATACCGTCAACATATGTCTGTAGCCCTGAAATGAACATTTCCATATTCAAATCTGAGGTTCCATTTTCTAAAACCAATTCTTGAGATTTCTGAAGAAATTGTTCCGCAGTACTCTATTCAGAAAGTTAAGTAAAAATATAATGTTTAGGATTTTGAATGATCTTTATATATACATATAAACATTTTAAAGTTATTTTACATAACAAGGTTAGATGTAGCATAGTGGTTAGCGTGCTGAACTATGGATCTCAGGGTTCATGGTTCGCTTTCCGATGCAAGGACATAACAGGGTCAGGCGTAGCCTAGTGGGTATCGTCCTCAACTATGGATCCAAGAGTCCATGATTCGCGTCCCGTTGCCGCAAAATATCTCTCCACATTTTAAGGCCATGGGTGCGTTATAAGAGTGATGGTCAAATCTCACTATTCAATTGGACTAGCACAAGAATTGTCGGTGAATACTGCTGACTAGCTGCCTTCCTCCTCTAGTCTAATAGTTCAAACTTAGGGAAAATATTCCTTGAGTAACTTTACGCAACTATCCGAAACAAAAGAAAAAGTTGCATAACAGTTTTTATGCTTTTTCGTTACCCTAAGACATTCTTCACTTATACGTTTATTTTATTTCAAGATAAGCTGCTTTAAAATATGAATTTAAATATAGTATCGATGTCAAAGATAAATTATAACATATATACATATTTACTATCATGATTAAAGTACCTCTTATGATACTAAGAGTCGGGCGTGGCCTAGTCATTAGTGAAGGAAATTCAGTTTAGAAGGTCCAAGATTCGAGCTACAACATGTCGCTTATCACGCTCTAAGTTTTCAGTTGCGTGGGTGTTATAACTGACAGTTAATCCCGATATTCGATTAACAGTAGTCGCATAGGCGGCGTGTACTGTTAACAGACTTCTCTCCTCATAGTCAGGAGTTCTAACTTAGGGATTTATGACATGATTCTGTAGTTCGTGTGTTATGTAAAGTGTCGTTCGGGTTGGAAACGTTAAAATATCAAAAATACCTGTAATTTGAAATAATTAAAAATCCCACAAATATTTGAATTCTTTAACAATCCCATAAAAACAAAGAAATTATAATAATTAACATTTTATTTTATAATGTGCGTATATATATTTTCGTGTGCCATTAATTAAACCATTAAAAGTTGGTGTTTTAACATTTTAGAAAATAAAAGGTTGATCTGCTTAAATGATTTTTTGATACACGATAAACACATATTCTTATAACACTGTAGCTGTGAATGTCATTAACTTTGCAACAAAGGAAGAGCTTTTTTATTATTATTATTGGCATTGTTTTATCAATAACAATATTTTATAACAATACTCAGTTTTTGTCTGTCCTGAAAATGCGCGAGCATTTCATTTCAACGGATATAAACAAAAGGCCGATGAAATTTTACTTTAGTTGACATTTTGTAAAACAACATATTAACAGCTTATTAAAAGTGTATAAAAAGATCTAACGTTCGTTCGTAAAATAACATCCATAAGTTTATTCCTCGATAGTACGGTACAGTTCAGCCCTAACTAAACTAAAACAAAAAACGTAAACAAGTTACAGTTAATTTATCTCTTTATCGAATATAGGCCGTACTTAATAAAGGCTTAATTAACACTAATTTGATCGCAAATGTTTGCGGGTCTCTGCTAGTATTATAAAAAATGTTAGAAAAAGTATTGTCCTATTCATAGATAATTTTTCTTAATTATTCAAATAATTTATACTAATTTAGCTTAAAATTTCAAATTACAGTTATCGTGTTCATAAGAAGAAAGTATCAGTAATTAGAAGCATACCGAAAGTAATGTGACAACATTTAGAAGCATACAAGAGAATGAGCTAGTTTCCCCAACATTCAACATGTTTGGGATAAATAGCAAAACAAGTAGAAGTGTGTAGTGTATCGAAAATATTTCCAAATGAACATTCAAACGAGCTGAAAAATACTAAACAACATATGAAAATACCTTTGCTTTTGTTGCAAGAGCTGAGCCAGGAGTGGCCTTGCTGGTAATCCGATGGTACATGGTTCACGTCCCATTATTGCAAAAAAAACATGCTTTGTACTTTGGAACTATGAGTGCGTTAAGAGTGTGACAGTCAAATGCAACAATTAGATTAGAGTAACATGTGGGTGTTGTAGACTAGCTGCTTCTACTCTAGTCTATCAATTCAAAATTAAAGACCTATTTTTATTTATATGAATGAAAAGTATACTTTATAAATGGTACCTTTCTTTTACGGAATGCCTCTAGGGAATAAGAGTCTAGTTTGTCATCATACATATGCTTTCCTATCATCGATGCAAATTCTGGACTCTCCTGTAACCTCCACTGCCAGAATTCTGAGTATAATTTCTCAGCATCATTTTTCACACCTTTTTTCTCACTGTTGACACTTGTTGGTTCTTGTCCTGTTGCTTGACTATACCAAACCTGTAAACGATGAAGCCATAATTTCTAAATAAACACATTTTTATCAAGAAAGCTAAAAAGAAGTATCCGCATCGATATCTTAGCAATAATGATATTAGAAAACACAGAAGTATTTTATCTGTCAGTATTTAGTGGGATTGCAAGTAAACGAAGAATGTTACGTGACGATGTTGTTCAGTAAATCATACAAAAAAAAGATAAAATATAAAGTGATAGAGTACTACCGAGTCTCAGATAACCGATCTCTCAGTATTCGCATCAGTGGGTATTAAAGTGATAGAATACTACCAAGTCTCAGATAACCGATCTCTCAGTATTCGCATCAGTGGGTATTAAAGTGATAGCTATCACTTTAATACCCACTGATGCGAATACTGAGAGATCGGTTATCTGAGACTTGGTAGTACTCTATCACTTTAATACCCACTGATGCGAATACTGAGAGATCGGTTATCTGAGACTCGGTAGTACTAATACTACCAAGTCTCAGATAACCGATCTCTCAGTATTCGCATCAGTGGGTATTAAGGATGGAATTTGAAGGAACTCTTGAGTTGACTCAAACAACTTTTAAAGCTCCCAACCAGACTGCCAGTTTTTGTGGTTGTTGATTTTAAGTGGCTTAACTACACAGAAACTAATAGTGACGTTTCAAGTTCAGGTTTGCAGAACTTAATGATCCTGACAAATTCCGTCCTTAATTTGTTGTTAAGCGCAAAGCTACACAGTGGACTTTCTGTGCTCTGGAAAGCGTCTGTTGGCTAGTAGCTTTGTGGCCTTCAATCATGATAACCTCAGTATTACTTTCCTCAAAACAAAAAAACTTGATGTTAAAATAAGGTGTCAAATCCTTCACTTTCTATAAGAGAACGCCTTATTTCGAAATCTAATATTTGCATAATTATTTAATCTGCCACCTGTTTGCCAACTTTGGCAATACTGCAGAAATTGTACGTATAATCTGTGCTCTTTAGATTGTTTTACATTTTTACATTGACGTGCTGATGCTTACTTGTCTTTGGTGTTCAATTTTATATAGATAGTTTTTGAAACTTTGTGCCTCAAGTTTTGCATCCCTTTGGTATTTCACTATATAAATATCCATCCTGCCATAAGACTATCCGTGGTAATATTGCACTATTGAATTGTTGGAAATTCGCCATGACCCAAATATGTAAGTGTTAAACTACTGTTAACTACTGAGTAGCTGAGTTCCCTAGAAACAAGACTGTCAGCGTCAACAACTAAGCAGCTGAGTTCCCTGAAAGCAAAACTGTCACTATTAACTACTCAGTGTCTGAGTTTCCTGGAAACAATAGTGTCACTGTCAATTACTAAGTAGATGAGTCCCCTGGAAACAATACAGTCACTGTCAACAACTGAGTAACTGAGTGCCATGAAAACAATATTGTTACTGGCAATTACTAAGCAGTTGAGTTTTCTGGAAACAATACTATCAGTGTTAATCACTGAGTAGCTAAGTTTCCTGGAAACAATACTGTGAGTGCCAACTACTGAGCAGCTGAGTCCCCTGGAAACAATACTGTCATTGTCAATTACTGAGCAGCTGAGTTTCTTGGAAACAATACTGTTAGTGTTAATCAACGAGCAGCTAAGTTTCCTGGAAACAATACTGTCAATGTCAACTACAGGAAATGGGAATGATGAATGACAAACCTTCATAGTGAACCATTATCACACTTATTACATATTGCCCTTTCTTCTAACAAAATTACACGGTCTATAAGTAATAAAAAAAGACTAGGAAACATAGCATTTAAACACTTTTGGAACTTATTGTCTTGAAATATTGGAGTATGGACATAGTATAATAAAAGCTCATTCAAATCGATAATTAGACCTTCTGAGATCAATGGAAGAATTACACCCTTATAAAAACAAAGAAATCCAAACCATGAAATACTTGAAAACTCGTGTAAATAATTAATTTTGAAAAGTTAGCTTAATGTACAAACTTTAAAGTTGTCTTTTTCTCACGTAACATGGATGTAATATAGTTTACTCCTTCAAAAGATGCGTATGATAAAAAGTGGTATTTATCTGAACTCCAGTGCGGTAATGGAACTGAGCAGTTCAACAGTAATATTTATACATCTTTACACGGATAAGTAAACAAAACTTAGTGAATCATAAGAAAGAGCACAAAACAAATAGAAAGTAAAAAAAAGTTTCTAAGATGAAAAAGTAATAATATCCAAAGTTGTCATATTTGTATGGATGTGAGGATGTTAAAAACCGGAAAGAGTGCGTTAACATCACAATGTAAGCTGTGTAATATAGAGTGTATATACATTTACATTTTATGTAGTAGAAGTAACAAAATACAACATCTATGGATTATACTATAATAAGTCTACTATGGAATTACTTAATTCCAAGATTAATATTACTTTTTGTTTATTTGACCAATTTCTAAAATGGATTTTTATTTCATTGCATTTAGAAATCTGGCGATGTATATGGGCCGGGCGTGGCTATGTGGTTATAGTGCCGGACTGTGAATCCGAGGATCTAATTCAGTTTTGACCTTGGGATTATCGGTGCGCTACAACATTGACGGTAATATCCCTTTTTATATATATATATCTCAATATTCGGTTAGAGTAGCCCACGAGTTAGATGTGGGTGCAGTTGACTAACCCCCTTCCCTCTAGTCTGACAGTTAACAATCAGGGCAGACTAGTGCAGATAGCCCGTATGTGGCTTTGCACGAATATCCGAAGCAAAGAGACAAAAATGTATTTAAATATATATTATTTTTGAGTAATACCAAAGAGAAGTTCAGATTTCCTATAAAACGAACACTTAATATTGTTCACAATAAACCTACCTCTAAATGTTTTATACAGTTTTCACGCTTTCTTTAAATGGCTTTCTTCCTTCTTTTTAAGCCCTCTCCAGTAATCTGAAAATAGTCTATAATGATATAAATGTATTGAACGAATAATGACTCTTCTGCATATAAGAAAATGCGTAATATTTACTCCTAGTGAGTTTTGTTTCTAGATGACCTCCATTTCGTTTATCCTTTTTAGCTCACTTTCTCAAAGTAGAGCTTCGCGTAAACGGTTTGTCGTTAAAAACAACGTCAAATTATATTTTTTCTTTATAAACAAACCTCTTATCTCACTGATAATCAAGCGCATGTTGACAGATGAGCCACTGCTGACCTATAAACAAAGTAGATGCTGTAGCTAGCTAACAGTAGTGCAAGATATTTTTCATTACGTATATTTCTGGTGGTCTGGTTTAAGCAGAAATTACAAGGTTGTTACTCAAAAAATGGCAGGTTACTCTTTTCTAACGACGGTAGTTTTATACTTGTTGCAGGTAAGTTTTATTATTATTACTTCTTTTTGCCCAGTTTACCTTCGTGTAATGCTGCAATGTGCTTTTCCTTCATTTTCAAACACATTATTTCCGGAATGATGAAAATGTTAATGCCATTATTTCAAAAGTTTGATTCATACAGACACTTTGTTGTGTACGCTGATGGTACAAATGCTGTAATTTTTACTTTACTCAAATACGGCAATATATAAAATGGTTTTAACAGCAAAGTAAACTTCCACTCACCAGGGGATATCGAGGGAACATTTTCAGAAATAAAAAAAAAATACAACGAACAAACTTGATTTCATGTACTCACATCAGACCTTGCAATAAATTAAAGAAACAAATGTAATGATCGTCTTTTTTTATCTAATGAACACCAACATAGCTGTAAAAAAATGTGCGGCCAAAAAAAGGGGGGGGGAGAATTTCGACAGAAAAACATGAAATCAAAATTTGCAGCCAAAATGAGAAAATATTGACGATTTGAATTTTATGCAAACTATTGTGACTAAGCATTCAAACTTTTACGCATATCTAATACACGAAATCACATGGGCCACTGTTTTTTTTGTTACTTGTTTTGTCGATTTTGATTGGATATCACTCGTTTTTGTTGTACATTAGGTAAAAATAACCACAAAAGACATAAATTTGATACTCAGATATACTTTGGAATAATTAGCATCAAGCACATATTAAATTTGGAGACATCATAACTGCATGTGTGTTTCTTCAATACTTCAATAACTTTGAGTTCATATCTTTCAGTTGTTTTATTTTTGTTTTTCCACATCCTTATCAGCCAAGTTGTTTTTGAATAAATATTATTTTCCTTGTATAGTTGTATTATAAAATTTGCCAGAAACGTAGGCAATCACATACCGGGTAACGTTTTTATTAGTTTCAAGTGTGATGCAAAGTAGTACGCAAAAATCATGTGCAAATTTTTACACGGTGGTGGTTTTTGGCTCATAACTTCCGAATTTCGTGTCCGATTTTTATAAAATAAAAACAAATCCATTTTAAGAATACCCTAATATGTCGTGGAAATTTCAGCGCGAGCAAATTTTACTCCAGGCGAGCTCAAAAATTTACAAGATTTTAGTGCATTTTTTCCTATAGTTTTGCCCATATTTCCAAGAATATTTGAGCTACTACAACCAAATATGCTGTCAAGCTAGGTAACATATATTCCAGCTAAACACCAAATTTGAAAGAAATCGATGAAGGGAAAGTTGTTTTTTTTCACTGATGCGAAGGAGGAGGAGAAAACGAAGAATTTCAGGCTGTTTGGTCTACTGTGAAACAATAATGGTTAAAGCGACTTCTTTGAACTTTAGTATGTAAGGTTAAGAGACTTGGAAGACTTATCATACAACAAATAGAAGAGTTTTAATTAACGGGGGCGATTATACGGATGGTTGAAAACCGAAAGTTTTCATTCCTGTTAATAGCACACTTGGTGTCGTGTCGTTTGTGTCTTTAGTAGGTGCTCACGTAGAAAATTTTATTCTAATTAACTGGTAGCATCAGAAACAACTAAACCAATGATTACCTATCTTACGCTAATTCACTGGTAGCATCAGAAACAACTAAACAAATGGTTGTCTATCTTACGCTAATTCACTGGTAGCATCAGAAACAACTAAACAAATGGCTATCTACCTTACGCTAATTCACTTATTCTAATTCACTGGTAGCATCAGAAACAACTAAACAAATGGTTGTCTATCTTACGCTAATTCACTGGTAGCATCAGAAACAACTAAATAATTGGCTATCTACCTTACGCTAATTCACTGGTAGCATCAGAAACAACTAAACAGCTTGTTATCTATCTTACGCTCGGTTTGTCCAGCCTCATCAATCCGATAAATTCATATCACAAAAGAAGATACTGCTTGATAATAAACTTACATTATGTAAAATGATTTTCATGTGTACAAGATACTACTCCTTATTACATGGCTTTGAAAACGAACCATGAAATAATATATTTTTATCTATCTCAAATTCTGAACGAAAAAGATAGGAACAAATCCACTGGGAGACATAACTGATGTACAAATCCCCCTAGTGGCTGAGCGGTGACTGTGCAGGTTTACGATGCAAAAAAATCAGGTTTTAATATTCGTGGTGGGCAGAGCACAAATAGCCACTGTGTAACTTTGTGCTTTGATTTGGAAACGGTTTCGTATTCTGCCGAAAACACTTCGGGATACTTTAGCCATTCATCTTTCGGTTTTTTAACCAGAAGGGGTGTCTTCTTTAAACGATTTCCAGAACTTCAAGCTCATTTCAATCCAATATAATATGGCGGGAATTTCAGTACGAGTGCTGAGCCTCGAACTCGAGAAGAGTCCGGGACCCATGGAAACCGGGGGTGTTTAGAAATGAAATTTCTCTTCACCGCACTCACGGAATGATATTTGGTGATGGACTACATGAAAAAAAAGAAATAATAATAGTAAAAAAAAAATAACGTAAGAGTGAGAGTTGAGGTTTAATTGAAAATGCTTGAAAGCAAAACTCCGAAAACCACAGAAGACTAGACGTAAATTTTCACTTGAGAATAAACTTCAAGATAATTTCAAACTGACCATAATATATATTCATCACAGGCTGAATGGTCAGTCATACTCACTTCCCATTACGTGAATAATTATCAGATATCTAACTTGTAGAACGATAAATTAAAGGTTGGGATTGAGTTGTCCCGTTATAGCTATAATACTACATATTCCGATTATCACTTAATTGTTTTGTACAGTATACATGACTATTTGTCACGATGGGAAACTAAAACAGAATGTTTACAAAGCTATAATCCTGTTATTCTATAAAAACGACTCTCAATTTAGCTGTAATACTTTTCTAATATTTTTACTACTAATTGTGAAAAGTGCAACCGATAAGTTATTCCAACTTTGTTAATTGAGTCTTAAAAATCTAAGAATATACATATTGCTATTTAATATAATTTATTATGTTGACAATTATATTTATCTAATCGAAGTCCATTTGTTATTATCATTTATAATTCATATATTATGTTCTTAAGACTGCCTTTGGTAATAAGGAATTTTGAAAATCACAAAGTCAGGTTCCTTTGTTTATTTGAAGGTAAGCACAAAGCTACACGAATTTGAATGACTATCTGTGCTCCGTCCACCACGGGTATCGAAACCCGGTTTCTAGCGGTATATATCCGCAGACATGCCGCTGTGCTACTGGAGGCAAACACACAAAGTCAGAAATACACTATGGAAACATAAAGCTGTGAGTTAAGCCTACTTTACGCTTGCTGAAACAGTAACTCTTTCCCTCAATGAAAAACAACAATGATTTGTTTGGCGTAACATTTTAGTCCTGCTATTACTGAGCTATTCTTCCTGCCAGTTGTATTTTTAGTTCATGATTATGGTCTGTGACCTGATTTATACAATACAACACAGTCTCGGTACCCTGTATAATAACATTTAATACATATTCAGGTAGTTTTTGATACTGCTGCTCCAGATAAGATTTTAAAATGCATTACATGAATAAAATCTCTCAATTTACAGTACACTTTTACTTTATCAGGAGCGTGTCTTAACTTACTTACAATTGTTGAGATTTGGGAAAACTTTTTTTTTTCATCTTTGTTTTAGCTTCAAAATCAGCTGGTGAAGTACTTTTTTAAAATCTGGCTTATTAGAAGATTGTCTTATACGAAATGTGTCTTTGTCTAGGGACCAAGATTCCAGGCCAAAAAGAAAGACAGAGAATGTAAATAGATCGCAATATCTTAGATTTTGTTGAAAGTAAAATTAATGTAGAAAGTTTTACTGATTGTGTTATAGGTACTTATTAGGCCTATCTTACCTACCTGTTAAATCTGGGACTCAACACAGTTCTAGTTTACCCTATTCAAAATTACGTCATGACTTTCAAAACGACGACTTGTGTGTTTGTCTAAAAGTAAAAATAAGTTTTGTTCTCATATGATGTTTTACGTTATAGTGTATGCAACCAAGAAATGATAAAAACAGTCACTAATCATACTAGCGAGTCACTCTTGTTATCAAAATATATAATTATATTAAATAATTAAAGCTATATTGGATGTATACATACCTCCATTATTAAACCAATTCAATTGACACCAGCCAGCTTCAACAGATTTATGTGTTCAAGGGTATAGCTCTTATAAATGCATATAAAAATATGAATTAAAATTAAATGGTGTTGATTGGCTCGAAATCTATCTAGGACATCAACAGCGTGGGGTGAGTAGCTTAGGGCAGAACTGCTGCGTCATCACTTTGCAATTTTGATTAATGTACTTCAAAATTCATCATCTTTTATATATATTAAACGTTTACATTATATTTTACAGTTAGGGAAGTTTTGTCGTGTTTATAAAGCTTTCAGAATACGTGTACATAAGGTATCGCAATTTATTTTGTAGTTAGGGAAGTTTTGTCGTGTTTATAAAGCTTTCAGAATACGTGTACATGAGGTAGTGCTATTTATTTTGTAGTTAGGGAAGTTTTGTCGTGTTTATAAAGCTTTCAGAATACATGTACATAAGGTAACGCTATTTATTTTGTAGTTAGGGAAGTTTGCTTTCAGAATACGTGTACAGAAGGTAACGCTTCAAAAACATAAAGGTAATAAAAGTTGATTTTCTTAGCTTCTCATCAAGCGACTAACACTCAAAATCAGCATGTCAGTTTGACTGTTCTAAAATTAATTCATAGAAGCTCACTATGGATGCTTCTCAACATGTTTGTGTAAATGTTAATCTATAATCGGAGGCGAGACTAAGCAATACTTTTCTAATGCTGTTTCGCATTTTTCACGTGAAAATGAAATTTTAGAATAAAATGATAATAATAGATTCTAATCAACAAATTATTACATTAAACTGCTTCACCAAAAACGTTGGAGAAAAATGGTACATTCTGTGTTTATTCTACAGTGTATATTTTTAACACGTATGATGTTTTGAGTTATATTTTACTCACCACGCTGAAACTATATTTATATGTGATCACGCACGGGTGTGTTCAACCGAACCCCCTATTTTTGTAATATAAAAAATATATACTTATATAGTTATAGCGCAGCTGCTTATGGTATTTAACATTTTCTACATAGTCTACATTATTCTCATGAAGCATTAGCATTGGGTTGAAACAGTAGGATGCTCCCAGACCCTCTTAAGAATAGCACGCTTTAAATACTGATTGTGTATCACACGATACGTGTTGGCTTTTGATCTCACAAATTAGAACCTCTCTTTTCAAACATTCTGCGTTGGTTTG